TATATATATACATATATAAAAGAGTTGTTTGTGTATGATTGCGATATGTGTAGGGCAATAGAATGCCTGGAGTCTGCATTTAATGTGCTGAAGGATTCGTTTGAAGTTAATTTGTTTATGTGTCGCCGATTGTTTGCTGAAGGTGTAAAGAACCCTCACTCATTTTTTTGGTGGGTTGATGCTTCATTAGGAAAAGTCTTAGACTTGATGGATTATCTAAAGATGAGTATAAGTGATAGCAGACAAGACCTTATTGATTCTCTTCTAGCTAATGATGCTGCTTCAAATCTTAATGCTAATAATGCTAATAATGCTAATGCAGCAAGTGCACCCGTACCTGCTGCACCACCTGCAGCAAATGCAGCAGCAGCAAATGCAGCAGCAGCAGCAGGAAATGAAGAAACAACAACACCTGGCAGCAATCATTTAACTGCGAAACCTCGCACTGCGCTCGAACAATGCAGTCTTATGATGAGAACAGCAAGCGGTAAACAACAACCTACTGCTGCTGTTGCTGCTGCTGCTGTTGTTGCTGCTAGTGTTGTTGCTGCTGATGCTGCTCCTGCTGATGCTGCTCGATGCTGATGCTGATGCTGCTGCTTCTTTTGCTGCTGTTGCTGTTGCCTCTGCTGATTTTGATGCTGCTGCTGTTTCTTTTGCTGCTGCTGCGGCTGCTGCTGTGTTTGTTGTGTGCTACATGCATAGTACTGATTTTATTATGTGTATGTTCGGCTTTACATTTGTTTTATTACGTATTACATTGATATTATTGAAGTTATTAATAATTAATTGGTTAATTTGTTTGCTTTTGTTTGTTTTCTTAGGGCGCTCTTTAAGAAGGCATTTAGTTAAACTGGTAGTACTTCAAAAGGGTGCTTATGTCGATCTAGGAAGAGAAATTGCTGCTGCTGGGGTTTGCTGCTGCAGCAGAATATTTGCTTGTACATGCTGCGACTGCAGCAGGAGGCAGATAAACCCGATGTATTTAAAAGCAGCTAGGGTGAGTAATATCTATCGATGGAGCTGCCTATACACCTGAACTTAGAATCAAAATGTATTCATATTAATGTATACCGATAGAGCTGCCTATACACCTCAAAACAAGCAGAATGAATTCCTATTAATGTCTATATATAGCTGCATATACACCTCACACAGTAAGCAAAATGTATACCTATTTAAAGCTGCGTATACACCTCAAAAGAGAAGCGAAATAATATTTATTTATAGCTGCATATACACCCCATGGGGGTGCAAAGGGAAAGATTTATTTTTGCTGTCTCATCGATGTTATTATTACTTTTGCTTTTTTTCGATTGTTATTGTTATTCTTTTCTTCCTATTATATATTATGATTATTATTCCTAGTCTTTTGCTTCTTTTATTTTAAGGTGGCGGTCTTTCTATAGGCATCTATATATGAATGTATAAATATATTCATATTTATGTATAGTCATATATATATATATATATTTATGTCTATGAATGTATTTAAATATATTGATTTATATATATATTTATTTATTTTACTAATAAGTTTATGAATGTGTGTATTTTTTTCAGGATTACACTCGGCGTCGCGGGCGAATTGAGTGTGCTTTGCATATGGTGTTATTTGATTTGTTGTGTTGTTTGCGAGAGGCGAAGAAACAAAAAACCTTTTCTTCGTATGAGAGGAGGCTTGCACTGTCTGTGCTGCTGCTGCTGCTGCAGAAGATTGAGATGAGGCATGCAGTTACAGATGATATGCATATATTTATTGCAGAGTGTATATACACCAGAGCGTATGCTAATCAGCACCTTCAAGATCTCTATAAATATACACATAAAAATCTATCAAAAAAACATATACATATAAATAAACACCAGCATAATAAACAACAACATGCAGATGTACATACACACAAACGCTTCTCTTTATTCAATAGCCAGCTAATCTTACGCAATATTAACAAACCCTAAAGCCTAAATAATAAACCCTAAATAGTAAATAAGAAGACAACTCTATCCAGCTCATTGAATCTAAAAGACAGTGTTTATATTATTTAATTGGTGAGAGAGAGAAAGAGGGGGTTGAGGCCTTTCATATTCTGCCTCCAAGTTAGTGAAGAATAATTAAAATGTTGTGCTGTTGCTTCTCACATGCTTTTAAAGCGTCTCGCTGCTTCAGCACCTGTACATACACCCGGAGAGGGTGAGCTAGCAGCACATGCAGCAGCACCAGCAGGAGCGGCGGATGCTTCAGCCGCATTGTTGCTGGGATTATTTTGCTGCTGCAGCGCAGCAGCAGCAGCAGCAGCAGCAGCTGTTGCAGCAGCGGCGGCAGCAGCCGTAGCTGCAGCACAGACAGGCCGAGGTGTCTGTTGTGCGGCTTAATAGCGACATTTAAACTTGAGACAAATGAATTTATTGTTTATTTTTACGAATAAATTCATTAATAACTTATTCCTTCTGAATATTAAATGCATGCATGCATGCAGAATATTGCACATAAGGCGTGACCATTGGTATATGGTTGTTGTTGTAGAGAGGGGGGCTTCTGAAGGATATTGTGAATATTAATGGGTAAATGTTGAATAACTTTGTCTATAATTCTTTTAATTATTATTGTAAATGATTAATTGTTTATTTTTGCATGCATTTTCTGTCTTTCTTTCTGTAGAAACCTGCAGAAGTCTGGGGCTCGCGGTTGGGTAGAGGGGAAGAAGCAGCGAGGGTTTATATGTTTTTTCTCCTGCATTTGTCCGTGATAAACGTTGAATTTAATTAAAAAAGAGTTTATTAATGCATTTATTCAATTAATTTACACAGAAAGAGGTAAAACTCAGGGGAAGAGAGCGTGCAGTGCGCAAGGACTTCCTTCTTCAACATTCTTGAGGTGTATATGCACCTCAGGTTTTCTGCATCGTTGATTATGTCTGTATACAGCTAATATAATTAATTTTGTGTGGTTTTTAATATGTTGAAGTGTACATTTAGAGACAGGGCCTATTGAAGCATATTCTGCGTTAGCTTAGACTCATTGCTAGCCTTCATGCCGAAGCTACTCACTCCTCTTACAACGAACATCAACCCAAACCCCTAAACCCTAAGCCCTAAACCCTAAACCCTAAACCCTAAACCGTAAAACGGTAAAACCCTAAACCTTAAACCCTAAAACCTAAACCCTAAAGCAGCATATTCTGTTTTTAGTTTTTTTAACAATACACTTAAATTCGTCAGCGGTATGGAGGAATGGCCGATAGAAGAAGATCAGCAGGAGGGGGCCTCAGAGACAACAGAGGGTTTGGGGGAAGATGCTGCAGCAGAAGTTGATGAAGACGTAGCAGCAGCTTCTTCTTCTTCGTCATCTTCAGCAGCAGGAGGAGGAACATCAGCAGCAGTAGCAGCAGCAGGAGGAGCAGCAGCAACAGGAGGAGGAGGAGGAGCAGCAGCAGCAGGAGGTGATAGGAGTGTGTATTTAGAATCATTAACTTTTAATCAAGATGGAAGCTGCTTTATTGCAGGCACTACCGAAGGTTTTCGAGTGTATAGGAGCTCTCCTTTAACAGAGTTTTTAAGAAGAGAGGGTGCGCACTGGCCTGACAAAGGTTTGCAAACAGCAGCAATGTTATATAGAACAAGCGTCTATGCAACTGTAACACGAACCGAGAATAAGAAGGTTAAGCTCTGGGATGACAGCAGAAAAAGATTTATAGGAGAACTCAGAAGCAAACAAACTGTTAGAAATGTCTGTCTAGCGAGAGATGTGCTCGCAATGGTTACAGATTATACTGTAAGCCCTATCTATTTATTCATTCAATTGCATGCATGCATGCATGCATTTAATTGTATTAAGGCATTCATTTAATTGCATGCATGCATGCATGCATTCATTTAATTGCATGCATTCATTCGTTTAAGTGCATGAATGCATGCATTTAATTGTATGCATGCATGCATTTAATTGAATGCATGCATGCATTCAATTGTATGCACATTTATTAATTTAACTGCATGCATGCATTCATTCATTCATTCATTTGCATCTAAGTAAATGCATGCAAATGCATGCATTTGCATGTATCTGTATTTATGTACTGTACATATAAATATATATAAGTATATATATATATATATATATATTATATATAAAATTTTGTTTAATGCTAGTTAATGAATATCTTTTTGTATTGAATTGTTATATGCATGCATAATTTACTAGTTCTATTAATATTATTGAATTTATGTATAATGTTTAATAATATATTTAATCTCTTTAATTTAATTAATTAAATTGATGATTTATTTTTTTAATTTTGTTTATTTTATTTTCAGGTGTATGTATACCTGAGCGAGCAGATGACGCCTGTGAATATAATTCATACGAGTATTAATGAAAACGGTTTATGTGCATTAGCAGCAGACGGCGGCTTAGGCAGCTGGTTGTTAGCATGCCCTGCTGTTGCTGTTGGAGCAGTACGAGTTCATAGAGGTTTGTCTTCTGCTGCAGCAGCAGCAGCTGCTGCTGCTGCTGCTGATGGTGGTGATTCAAATGCAGCTAATGCAGCAAATCCAGCTGCAGCAGCAGCTGCAGCAGCAGCAGCAGCAGGGGGAGGTACAGCGGGGCTTTTAGGGCATCACCAATCTTCTTCTTCTGCTGCAGCAGCAGCAGCAGCAGCAGGAAATAATACAGCAAATCATGTGTTTCAAGCTCATACAACTCAACTTGCTGCTATTGTATTTAATCTTCAAGGGACGCTAATTGCTACAGCTAGCGAGAAAGGAACTGTAGCAAAGATATTTAATGCAGCAGATGGACGGCTATTAAGACAGCTGAGGAGGGGTAGGAATATTTCGAGTATTAGTTGTGTTTGTTTTCGAGGAGATAACCGCTTTGTTGCTGTTGCTTCTTCATCTGAGACTATTCATATATTTCTTTTAAGCGATCAGCAGCAGCAACAAGCAGATGATGATGATAAACACGGACAAACAGATGCTAATACTCTCTTTCCTCTACAAGACGCTGCAAATAGCACCAGCAGCAACAGCAGCAACAACAACAATAACAGCAGCAGCAGCAGCAGCAGCAGAAGTGTAGCAGCAGCAGCAGCTATGCAACTACCAGCAGCAATTAACTCGGGAAAAGAAATTACTGCTGCTGTCTATGGGGCCTCAAGGGAGATCGTTCAAGATGCAATTAAGGTCTTATATTATTTATTTTATTTTATTTATTTATTTATTTATTTGTCTGTTTAATTTATCTAGTTTGTCTATTTAATCTATCCAATTCACTTACTTTCGTTGAAATGCATTTGTTTAGTCTCTCTAATTCATATTTTTGTTGTTTGTATTTATTTATTTATTTGTATATTTATTGTGCATTTTTATTTGTTTATTTGTTTGTTTTATTTTCATTTGCATTCATTCGCTTTCTCTGCTCAATTACTATTTACTATTTATTTATTTATTTATTTATTTAATTTATTTATTATTTATCTGTTGCATCTAAATGTGTTTGTCTGCTCGCCTTAATTAATTTATTTTTATTTTTTAATTCAGCGCGTCCACTTCGATTTAATTAATTTATTTTTTTCTTTAGATTGTTGCGGCGAACTAAAATTAATATATTTTATTATAATTTAATATAAACAAAAATATTAATAATTCCTTTCATTTATTTTAAGTTTATATAATTGCATTTATTTGTATTTAATTGCATTTATGTAAACAGACGTATTTATATGCATGCGTGTAAATGCATGCATTTAAATAGATGAATTAATGTGCATATATATATATATATATATATATAGATTTTTTTACAGATCTACATATAAATGCATATACTATATATATATTATATAATTATGTAATATAATATGTATATATATTATTATATAATTATATAATTATATATATATGTATATGTATTTGCATGCAGGGCGTGTTGGGCTCTTACTTCCGTGCGTCTCGGAGTTTTGCGCAGTTTCACCTTCCATCAGATATAACATCGATAGACAGCCGATCTTCTTCTTCTTCTATTAAAGGGCCTTTGGTTTCTTTTGCAGGGCCTAACTCTAATCACCTTTTCTTGCTGTCTCCCTCTGGACATTTCTATGAACTTCGGTTTAATGCAAAAACAGGAAAAGAATGCATACTTCTCACTGCATGCACATGGTTTGCATGCAGACCCAACTTTCGTATACAGGTATAGTTAATTATATATATATGTATATATATATATATAGTGTATATATATATATATATATATGTATGAGTATATACATATATATATATATATATATCTTTTTATGCTTTTCTTTCTGGGGTTGTATATAACTGTTTTACTCTTTTACACTTGAAGCGGTGTATTCTGTTTATATTGTTTTGTCTTTTATTGTTTTATTATTTTATTATTATCTACCCCTCGCTTCTTTATTATAATGTTTAAACGTTTTGTTATTTAACTACTTTTAATGCTTTATTATAAACAAGGCGTTAATGATCTACTGTTAGAAAGGTTTTAATGCTGTTATTATATTATATACATGGTTTGTTATTTATTGCTTCGTTAGACAATTCAATATTTAACGGCTTAAAGACTAATGCCATCTGCATAGACACCCAAACCCTCAGCCCTAAACCCTAAACCCTATACCCTAAACCCTAAACCCTAAACCCTGGGGTATATGCTGTCTGTCTTTGCTGCTGCAGTCTCATCTCGGTACAGCAGCACTCCCTTCTGATTTAGAGGGAGGCCATGAAGGGGATCAATGGCAGCTCGTGCTCTAACGTATGTACACCTGAAATGCTGCTGCATGTACACTTGAAGTGCTGCTGCATATACACCAGAAGTGCTGCTGCTCTCTGTACAGCTGAAAAGCAGCTGCATGCGCACAGTAAGTGCTGCTGCTCTCTGTACACCTGACTTGCTGCTGTATTTACATGCATCTCAGCTCAACTGCTGGATGTGAATTGCTGCAGGACCGACGAAGAGGATAAAAAGGATGGTGTACATACACCTGAGATGCTGTGTGTGCACATATAGCTGCCTGTACACCTGAATTTTGCTGCGTATACACCTGAATTGTGCTGCGTATACACCTGAAGTGAGCTGCGTATACACCTGAACTCATGCATGAACAGAACATCACCACGATGCAAATTGCCTCATCCATCGCGTCGAATGAACAGCAGCTGCATACAAAACAAAACGAAGAAGCGGGAGGAAGGCCCCAGCCTGAACGCTAGCTGGCTCTTATTCGTAGCTAGCTGGCTCTTATTCATAGCTAGCGGGCTCTTATTCATAGCTAGCAGGCTCTTATTCATAGCTAGCTGGCTCTTATTCATAGCTTGCTGGTTGCTATTCCTAGCTAGCTGGTTGCTATTCATAGCTAGCTGGCTCTTCTTTATAGCTAGTTGGTGCTTATGCACAGCTAGCTGGTTGCTATTCATAGCTAGCTGGCTCTTAATTACAGCTAGCTCGTATCCGTGGCTAGCTGGCTGTTAAGAACAGCTAGCTGGCTTTATTCAAAGCTAGCAACTTGTTGTTGATCGCTAGCTGGGTGCTGCGGACAGCTATCTGGGTGGTACTGGTAGCTAGCTAGCTAGCTAGCTACGTGGCTAGCTAGCTGGCTAGTTAACTAGCTAGCTAGCTAGCTGGGGGGTTCATTTGTTGTGAATTGCATGGTGGGTGCTTCTCCGTGGGCCTTGGGGGCGCCTGAGGGGAGAACTCTTTTTTCTTTTTATTGCAAATGTTGGCGAGTTAACACAGGAAGAAAAGTAATAAAAGAAAAGAAATTTGTCTTATAAAAGGAGGAAGGGGAGGCAGACCGTCTCATCCCTGCAGTGTTCAGCAGCAGTGAAGAAGGCCCTTAGAGCATTTCATGCATGCAGCGAATCATTACGTGCATGCATGCATGCATGCATGCATGCATGCATACATGCATAGGCCTTGCATGCATGCATGCATGCATGCATTGATACATGCATTATTTTCTATGCATGTTCGCATCAAGATGCACGCATCCGTACACGCAGCGGTGGTATATATATAAAATATATAAAATATTTATTATATATATTACATATTATACATATATATAATATCAGTGGCTGAGTAGGAGTCGCCTTCCTGCTGCGTCTCTGAGTGCATCCTGACAAACAAAAGCAGAAACAAAGAAATAAAAGAATTAAATATAAAAAGCAAGCAAAAAACAAATGAATATAAAAAAATATAATGTAATTGTATTATATCATAGCATATATGTAATATGAAACAAGCAAAAACATACTAAGTATATATAATACACAATAGAGAAGCAGCAGCAGCACCAACCGCACTAGCAGCAGCAAACAACAACAGCAGAAGCAATACCAATCACAGCAGCAGCAACAGCAACAGCAATCACAGCAGCAGCAGCAGCAACCGCAGCACCAGCAGCATTATCAGGTGCCGCCTCACTCGCATGCACTCTGCTGTCGCCATGCATCCCTTTAAACAAAATTCAAACATCTGAATGCGAAACAAACACAGAAAGATACAAATAAACGCTTCAACTGCAACAGCAGCAACTGCAGCACCAGCAGCAGCAACTGCAGCACCAGCAGCAGCAACTGCAGCAGCAGCAACTGCAGCAGCAGCAGCAGCAACTGCAGCAGCAGCAGCAGCAGCAACTGCAGCAGCAGCAACAGCGCACGTTCCTTCGCAGCTCGATTGCTTGCATGCAATGAACAAACAATGCCTTATTATTATTCTTCTTATTTATTTGTATTCAGTGCTTATTATATTATAATTCGTATTATTTTTTAACTTTTATTTGTTGCTACAAACATTATCATTTATTATTACAACTATAACCATTTCTATTTATTTTCGTAACAATAAATATTATCATTATTTTGATAAATACATTAATAATAATTATTAGAAATATTATATATTATGATTATTGTCGTAATTATAAACATTACAATTATAATGAATGTAATCATAATAATTATTATAAATATAATAATAATTCAAATAATTATAATAATGATTACAAACATAATAATGGAAATAATCATAGTAATGATTATAAATATTATAATTATAAATATTATAATAATTAATTTCTTACTTTTTCGTACGTCGCCATATCTACGCGCCCTCGGAGCTGCAGAGCAACGACCTGCAGCAAATGAAGAAGTAAGGAGGTGTAGATATACTGTAAATATTCTTGTTTTAAATACTTAATTAATTACTTTATTGTTTAGTTATTTACTTTGCTTGTTTATTTGTTTATTTTTCATTCATTTGTTTATTCTTTATGGAGTGTTTATATATGCGGTTTTATTAATTACTTCAAACATCTATGTGCAGCCATTCGTCTTTGCTGTATAAACAAATACGCCTTACATATATATATATATACATATATATATATGTATATATACAATGCATATATATATATGCACATTATATGCATATATGTACATACATACATATATATATATATATATATACTGCATTTAAGTGCACCAAGTAAGTATACACACAAAGCGT